GGACATTCCACATGCGCTAATACGATCACCTCACCGAAGATTTTCTCCATTAGACCCCACTTCCTACCCCAACCATTATGCCACTTATTGAATAAAGGTAGGGATGTCAAACATGCCGAGCGGCTCGAACGCTCGGCTAGTCAAAACCCAGCTCGTGGGATAAAACGAGCCCGAGCCTGAGCACGAGTTGAGTAGGGGGCTCAATCCCACAAGCTTGAGCTGAGCTCGTGGGCTCATAAAAAAATATGAAAAAATTATGAAAAAAAGGTCCACAAATGTGAAAAAAAAATAAAAAAATAAAATCACGAGTTCGCGAGCAGCTCGTGGCTCGTGAGCTCATGATTTACTCCTCTTAGCCCAAATAACTAAATTCTAATCCTAAATAAAGGGTCATACTACACGTACATAATCATCTATATAACCTTTTACCTACTACACACAACATGAGGTGGAAACCACGGCTTGAATTATTTAATAAGGGGCGGGGCCTGCATGTTTGTGAAGGGAGGACACAGTTCGATTACCCCCTCGGCGCAAACATCTTAATCCTTGCATAAATCATTATAGAACTTCAAAACTGCACAATTTGATTTTTTAACTCCAATATTCTCCTCCATTAACAAATACACATTACCCTCACCTACTCACATTTATAACGGATTTCTATGTCAGACGGTGTCAAGGTATGTTTGAGCCACATTTAAAAAAAAATATATATTCTTAAATAGTGATTTAATATCATTTCAATCGCACATTTTTCAATAAAATAATATTACACGCAAATTCAAAATTTTATTTTATTTTTTAATCACACATTTTTCATCAATACATTATTCAAAAATGCATTCTAAAAAAAATAATATGGCTCAAACAAGGGCTAATTGTGGAAAAAGCTATGGCCATCCTCAAGTGCCACCACTATCTTCTCTAAACTCTTTAGTTTCCCATTTTGCCCCCTAAATTCGTCACAGATTTACTCCTCTTATCCCAAATAACTAAACTCTAATCCTAAAATTTCACATATTTACTCATTTCTGCCGCTCCGTCTTCCGTGGTGTTGACTTTTAGATCGACAGCGCCCGTGCAGGTTCCTACTCTATCAACGTGGTTGGTGGTGATTTTGTGTCTGTGCCGTCAGTTGTGTAGAATGCAGATGCGAAAATAAAAAATGGAAGAGACGTTGTGGAAAGGGTGAAATGGCGGGATGATGTTGGTGGCGCCACCGCGATGAGGTGGGTGTTGTGATGTGGCTGTAGATCTGTCTTTCTATAGTTGTGGTAGCGTCGTCACTATGAGGTGGATGTTGTGATTGACTGGATATCTGTTTTTCTATGGTTGTTGCCGGTAATTGTAGACTTATTTTTTCTGTGATTGTCGACCGTGGTGAGAAAAAAACTCAGTGGCTGCCGGTGGTAGTTCGGAGGAGAAAGCGGGTGAAGAATGAGATTAAGGATGGCAAAAAAGCTTATACGCTTGGACCTCGCCCCAAATGCATGGAGGTTCCCTACTTAGGTCCCATTTGGTATTATTTTTGTAAGAATGATAATGAAAACTATCGAAAAGATAAAAAGTCAAATATAGTAACTTAATACAATAAATAGCGATTATATTTTTTATTTTTGTGATCAAACAACGATAATCAAACGGGGCTTAGTACATGAGGTGGGGGACAAGTGAGGGTCATTGCCCCGAGTTGGTTTGGGGAACATAAATCCTGCTTGTCTAAAATTCATTTCAAATTTAAACTTTTATCATGTAAAAAGAAAAATATCATCATCGTTTTTAGAGGAAACATGGGTGTTATTAACAAATTGAAAAAAAATAAATAATGATAATAATATTTACCAATTAAAGATATGAAAAAAATAAAATATAAATAGGACAAGGAGCCAGCTTGTCCAACCTCGCCTTAACTGTGTATGGAGATGGGGTAAGGTAATAAAACTACTCAACAAGACGAGAGAAGAGAATAGTTGTCCTAATCCGACCCGACTTGTTGATATCCCTAAATTAGAGAGAAGCGATGGGATAGGATGATGTGGAGTGACGAGTTCGCGAGCAGCTCGTGGCTCGTGAGCTCACGATTTACTCCTCTTAGCCCAAATAACTAAATTCTAATCCTAAATAAAGGGTCATACTACACGTACATAATCATCTATATAACCTTTTATCTACTACACACAACATGAGGTGGAAACCACGGCTTGAATTATTTAATAAGGGGCGGGGCCTGCATGTTTGTGAAGGGAGGACACAGTTCGATTACCCCCTCGGCGCAAACATCTTAATCCTTGCATAAATCATTATAGAACTTCAAAACTGCACAATTTGATTTTTTAACTCCAATATTCTCCTCCATTAACAAATACACATTACCCTCACCTACTCACATTTATAACGGATTTCTATGTCAGACGGTGTCAAGGTATGTTTGAGCCACATTTAAAAAAAAATATATATTCTTAAATAGTGATTTAATATCATTTCAATCGCACATTTTTCAATAAAATAATATTACACGCAAATTCAAAATTTTATTTTATTTTTTAATCACACATTTTTCATCAATACATTATTCAAAAATGCATTCTAAAAAAAATAATATGGCTCAAACAAGGGCTAATTGTGGAAAAAGCTATGGCCATCCTCAAGTGCCACCACTATCTTCTCTAAACTCTTTAGTTTCCCATTTTGCCCCCTAAATTCGTCACAGATTTACTCCGCTTATCCCAAATAACTAAACTCTAATCCTAAAATTTCACATATTTACTCATTTCTGCCGCTCCGTCTTCCGTGGTGTTGACTTTTAGATCGACAGCGCCCGTGCAGGTTCCTACTCTATCAACGTGGTTGGTGGTGATTTTGTGTCTGTGCCGTCAGTTGTGTAGAATGCAGATGCGAAAATAAAAAATGGAAGAGACGTTGTGGAAAGGGTGAAATGGCGGGATGATGTTGGTGGCGCCACCGCGATGAGGTGGGTGTTGTGATGTGGCTGTAGATCTGTCTTTCTATAGTTGTGGTAGCGTCGTCACTATGAGGTGGATGTTGTGATTGACTGGATATCTGTTTTTCTATGGTTGTTGCCGGTAATTGTAGACTTATTTTTTCTGTGATTGTCGACCGTGGTGAGAAAAAAACTCAGTGGCTGCCGGTGGTAGTTCGGAGGAGAAAGCGGGTGAAGAATGAGATTAAGGATGGCAAAAAAGCTTATACGCTTGGACCTCGCCCCAAATGCATGGAGGTTCCCTACTTAGGTCCCATTTGGTATTATTTTTGTAAGAATGATAATGAAAACTATCGAAAAGATAAAAAGTCAAATATAGTAACTTAATACAATAAATAGCGATTATATTTTTTATTTTTGTGATCAAACAACGATAATCAAACGGGGCTTAGTACATGAGGTGGGGGACAAGTGAGGGTCATTGCCCCGAGTTGGTTTGGGGAACATAAATCCTGCTTGTCTAAAATTCATTTCAAATTTAAACTTTTATCATGTAAAAAGAAAAATATCATCATCGTTTTTAGAGGAAACATGGGTGTTATTAACAAATTGAAAAAAAATAAATAATGATAATAATATTTACCAATTAAAGATATGAAAAAAATAAAATATAAATAGGACAAGGAGCCAGCTTGTCCAACCTCGCCTTAACTGTGTATGAAGACGGGGTAAGGTAATAAAACTACTCAACAAGACGAGAGAAGAGAATAGTTGTCCTAATCCGACCCGACTTGTTGATATCCCTAAATTAGAGAGAAGCGATGGGATAGGATGATGTGGAGTGAGATGATGTGAATAGTATTTGTAAACAATTAATTGAATGTTTTGTAGCCAGTTATTGGATGATTTGTGACTAATAATTAGTTTATGACCTATAAAATGTGGGCAATGCGACTACATATGAAATTGTAGCACACATTTTTTTGTCTTGTATGACCATGACTTCGTATTATTTGTGATTAGTGTGAGAACATGACCATAAATTATTGGGACCCGTATAATTAAATTATACGTAATAACATAAAATGTGATCACTTGATTTTTGAATTTTTTTTAAACGAGTTTGTTATTTTTGAAATTATATTTCAAAACATTTGTAATTATGAATTTTTCCCCTCATTAACTTATCACTATCCAATAATGAATAAAGATAATAGAAGAGACAACGGGAAGCAATAGTTTCAAAATGGATGTGTAGGGTACAATTAGGTCCGATTAAGGTGAGGCCCAGCCCACGGACCTGCCAATATGCGGGCCCAGACTGGTCCAAATTATCATCTATATATATATATATATATATATAT